TTGCCCATGGAGGCCTAGGCTTTTGGTGTGTTGCCCTCACCTAGTTAATCAGATCAACAAAACAATGTAATATATAAGAAGTTTGGCTCGTTTTAGTTCTTATGTTTTAAAAAATGTTTGATTTATTTTGTTAATCAGTCAAGTTTTGTAGAAATGTTTTGAGTTTCTGAAGGGAAGAGATTTATCTTATAATTTTTATTGCCTTTGGTTCAGGACATAAAGTCCAGTGAAGACATGACCATTTCCCTCCTGAATTAAGCAATGCAGATGGCCAAATTGAATAAATAAACTGAAAATTCTCACTGGGGCTTGAATTMTTTTCAAACCCATGAATTAAATATAGGAATATGAGAAATGTCATGCTATATTAAGTCAATTGTCCATGGAACATGGTAACTTAAAAAAAGCATGATATTCACTAGACATGACATTGATCTACCTTGAACACCTATTATATTCCCTTAGTAATACATTCCATATCAATTTTCCACAAATCAATTTTCTACAAAGACCTTCTTTGATCCCATTTCTATTTTCAGTTTGTACTACCTCTTTAGTAATGAGTTTATTATCTCTGGTGTATACTTCACTTCCATATTCCAATGACTGTGTAAACTTTTAATTTTCAAATTTTCAAAATATTCACTAGAGTACACTATAATTTATAATACATGCTTAGCTCATCTATTTCTTCTTTTTTCTTGTTCTTTCCTTTCTTGTTTGAAGGGTTTGAATTTTCCTTTGATTTTATGTGGAAAATATATTCTTTTACTCATTTTAAACCTAGACCTGTTCCTCTGTGATGTCCTTTATTCTGGGGAGAATGTGAATTATGCACATAATCATAAGACGAGTACAGTAATTGTGTTTATGGGTAACATTTGCTTTACTACCATACACATGTAATGAACATTCTATTGTATTTATTTTTATAGCAGCACATGAAAGAATTGATATTCTTTTGCTTGATCTAGAATTCCCAAACAAAAATACTGATAACATTTTCTGCCCTGTTATGAATCACATACTAAGTGGAGTATACTACCCTATCAATACTGAATAAATATTTATACTGACAGAACATGTGGGTGCATGATCTTTAACATTCTTGAACTCTTAGTGCATTGTTTTTGTTGATATAAATATAATTCACTATTTTAGTAATTCTTTTAAGTCTTTTAATAGATCCATCTCTTAATACATGTTTGCACATATATTATATCTTTCCTTCCATGCTGAAGCTTTAATTTCCAGAAAGAGAAAATATATTTTAGTGACATTATCTTCTCTTGTCTCAATGCTTTGCTTTCTTCTTTTCTTATTTTTATACTTATACCTGCTAATGTCTAGTCTTAAATAAATTGATGGTAAATTTGATTGATAAAACAAGTTGATATACTCAAAATTAACTTTTTCTTTAACACCTCTAATGTGTATTTTATGCATATGTATACATTTTCTATATTTGGGTCCCCAAGTTCATTCTCTTTAACATGATTTGTTTCAGCCAATTTGAATGTATAGTTTTTTTTAAAGAGAGAGTGAGAGAGGAGAGAGAGAGAGAGAGAGAGAGAGAGAGAGAGAGAGAGAGAATTTTTAATATTTATTTTTTAGTTCTCGGCGGACACAACATCTTTGTTGGTATGTGGTGCTGAGGATCGAACCCGGGCCGCACGCATGCCAGGCGAGCGCGCTACCGCTTGAGCCACATCCCCAGCCCAATGAATGTATAGTTTTTACTTGGAATGTAAAGTAAATTTTAGAATATGTATATATATATATATATATATATATATGTATATTTAGTTATATATATTTATATATATATATATATTTAGTTACTTCTTCAGTAATAGACTCTTTTTTATACTATAGCAATGGGTGTATTAAAAATATCTAACTTGGGGCTGAGGCTGTGGCTCAGTGGTAGAGCGCTTGCCTAGCATGTGTGAGGCACTGGGTTCGATTCTCAGCACCACATATAAGTAAATGAATAAATAAAGGTCTATAAATCTAAAAATATTTTTTAAAATATAACTTTGAGGAGCATATATTAAAGACAAAAGTATACTTTAGGGACATTATTTTCTCTTATCCTGGGAATTAGTGGTTTATATGCAGCATGTTCACTCTATCACTCTGAAATATTCTGGAAAAACCACACTTAGAGATTATCAAACTATAATGGCTTTATCTAAGATTAAACTTAAATGGCTATTAGAGTAAGTGAGGTATTATAGGATGCTGTGAATATCTGTGGTTTGCTCTTCTTACAACAGACATTTTTGTTTTCCTAAGGGTACAAGCAGGGAAAATTTTGAGCCTATACTATGAAGACAGAAATTTACATCTTCCCATTTACCTTGAGTAAATGTGTGGCTATTTCCAGAACTGAAATATTTTAATCCAAAAAATCCAGTGCATTATTTGTGGAAAAAGAAAAAGAAAATTCTATGCTATGTAGATTGTCTGATACTTGCCAAGAGGACAAGAACAGAATGAGAAAGTCCTTTTGTTGTTGTTGACTGGAGGCATTGTTACCTTTTCTAAGTTTCTAACAGCACATACTGAAGAGTACTTGAAACTGCCACATGGTTTGTCCCCTCCAGAACTACATGCCATCTTTCTATAGTATAGCAATGACATGAACAAGGCATAATAAGGGACCCATAGAAGCTGATCTCTGCTCTGCAGATGACACAAATAGAAAGCTTTGAACAAGAGTGGAAAGGCACACTGTCACTTGTCTTTCCTCTCTGAAAAACCCAGGGCACATTCTGCTAAGCCTTCATGTTCTCAGAGAAATATGATTTAACCTCCACTTTGCACACAGTAAGAAACAACACCGTAGACCTGTCAGGAATGTGCTGGCAGACTGGAGGAATTTGGACAAGTGTTTTTCATTCCAGTGTTTTCATGTGACTTGACTCATTTTCAATGTAGTTACATCTTGACCTGGAAAGAGCTGCCATGGCTTGCCTCTTCATTTGGTTTACCTTGATTCTTGATGTGCATGTACCTCCTTCCCGTACTCCCACCAGATGCAGCCTCTTGTTTCCCTTGCTTTCCCCTGGATGTCTACACATATGCTTACACTCTGATTTCCAGGATCGCTGAGATATACACAAAGATATTCACTCAAAACCAGCCTGCAGTTCCTCACGCCTTTGACCAGATATGACTATTTTGTATCTGACAGGTTCTCCTGTAGTTATTACAGAAAATAATAGTCCACACATCTCTCTAGTTTTTCTCCCCTCCCCCTCCATCAAATGACTGATTTTTATGCATGAAATAATAGACAAGCCTTGGGTGACCTGTTTTTCCCCCCCTCTTCTCTCCCTCCCTCTTTTCCCTTGCGGTAAAATAGTGCTGAAGAAAGAGGGCACTAGTGTACAGCCCAGATCGCATCCTTGCACCGTCTGGATTAGAGCTGAGGCGTCTGCGAACCGAGGGCGGCTGGGGTCCTCTGACCTAGGGAACACAGCTCTTTGTACCCCGACTCAGGTACGTCCTAGGTCCATATCCTTCAAGCAGACAGGTGAGTCGGCACCTCTCCGCGGTGAAACCTACCCACAAAGGCAGACACAGTCCTCTTTTATCGGATTTTCTCCTGGACCCTGGCACATCCTGCCTGCCTAGGAAGGGTCGGGAGCGGTGGGTCCCTGGGTTGTCTTGCTCCTTTAGCCTGCCTCTCCTGCTGTGCTCGCACTCCCTGACCGCTCCTGTAGCCTCTTTCTTGTCTGACTCTCACCTTGAGAAAGGGATCGGGGAGGAACGGGAGAGGGAGCCAACTTCAGCCTTGCAGGCAGCTGAGATTTGGCGCCTGTGCCCCTGAAGCTGTTGGGTTTGAATTTATACCTGCAGAAGCGCTGCAAGAAGAGAATGGTGGTGGGAAGGCGAGGGGAGGGGTGTGTGTGTGTGTGTGTGTGTGTGTGTGTGTGTGTGTGCAAAGAACGTGGAGGAGGGGGGTTGAATGAGTGAGGTGGGGTCAAGGAATTGCAATTCATTGCTTAAAGCATCTGTTTGCAGGCCCCCGCGGGGTGCTGTCTCGGCAGCTGGACCGAGCACTGTCCAGGGTTCTGAACGCGGCGTGGCTCTGGCTGCAGTGGCGAAAGCAGCCAGAAAGCTTGGGTTCCTTTCCCTTTCAAGCAACTATGCAAAGCCAAAAGGTCCCGATATATAGGGGCGGGGGTGGTGCAGAAGACCCTTCACCTTTTCTCCCTTCTCGGAAAACAAGTTACCTTACCTGCACCCCTTCTCCTGGAACATCTACAATAAGCCCGACTTCTTAGTGGTGAAACGTACCAAACTCCAACATAAGGAGACTTTACCAGGCGTTGCCTTAGTAACTGATATGGATTTTCCACAAGCTGGCAGATTCATATTTGCCACTTGGATTTTATGTCAGGGTCTTTTCAACCCCGCAAAGTTAAAGTAAAAGGCACCTCTTTTCACGTTTATTTGTAAGTAGAGCTTCCACCTTTAGAATGRGTTTCCAAATTTTCTTCGGGGGGAAAAAGTTAATCTCTTCAAATTTCKGAAAGTTCTCTTAGGTTGAAGGACTTAGCTCCTCCCTTCCTCTCTTCTCCCTCCCTTGCTGCCCCCCGCCCCCCCTCAGGAGTCGGAAAGTCATAGATGGTTGGGGACTGGAAGAGACTTGAGCTGGGGAAGCGCGCAGGTGGAGGGGGTCTCACTTCGCCGCCTGTGAGCTGTGAGAGCGCTGGGAGCAAGGTATACCACTTTCTTTACTGACCAGAACTGCTTTGGGAGCAGTCCCTGCAGCTGCTATCAGGATGTGCTGAAATGAAATGGACGGGGCAACAACTAGCATCACTAACCCCAGAGTTTAAACACATGTCCTCCGATGACCAGGATTTGAATTTTTTTTCCCCCTCTTTTACCAGCAGCGTCCAGTTCACCRCCGCCAACACGACTCCCACTTGTACCCTTGATGCAATTTACCTTGATGCACCGGTGAAGGACGGGGACTTGAATTCCCTCTAAAAAGGCCTGCAGGGTGTGGGGGCGGTCGTGGAGGACCAGGAAGAGGAGGTGGAGGGGAAAGAGGAGGTGGAGGAGGCGGCCAAGGCGTTGGACCAGCAGTGTTGGCGAGGGGGACCAAGCCGCGAGAGGCAGCGTCTGGCGTCTCAGYGGTGCGCTCCCAGAGCCTGCAGGCGGGACCAGCGTGGGAACGCTGCTGGCCGGCGGTGGCGGTGTACCGCGTCCTCACCACCATGGTCCGGCTCCTCTTGGTTTTCTTCCCAGCGATCTTTTTGGAGATGTTCCTGCTCCCCAAGAACCCAGGCAGACAAGTGTTGCTGGCGGGAGCCTCATCGCAGCGCTCTGTGGCCAGAATGGACGGAGATGTCATTATTGGAGCCCTCTTTTCAGTCCATCACCAGCCCCCCGCCGAGAAGGTGCCCGAAAGGAAGTGTGGGGAGATCAGGGAGCAGTATGGCATCCAGAGGGTGGAGGCCATGTTCCACACATTGGATAAGATCAACGCGGACCCCGTTCTCCTGCCCAACATCACCCTGGGCAGTGAGATCAGGGACTCCTGCTGGCACTCTTCCGTGGCTCTGGAACAAAGCATTGAGTTCATCAGGGACTCTCTGATTTCCATTCGAGATGAGAAGGATGGGCTCAACCGGTGCCTGCCTGACGGCCAGACCCTCCCCCCAGGCAGGACTAAAAAGCCTATTGCTGGAGTGATCGGCCCGGGTTCCAGCTCAGTAGCCATTCAAGTCCAGAACCTGCTCCAGCTGTTCGACATTCCCCAGATCGCCTATTCTGCCACAAGCATCGACCTGAGTGACAAAACTTTGTACAAATACTTCCTGAGGGTTGTCCCTTCTGACACTTTGCAGGCAAGGGCGATGCTTGACATAGTCAAGCGTTACAATTGGACCTATGTTTCTGCCGTCCACACGGAAGGTAGGCATTATATTGGGAAAGAAAAGTACAGAGAAAACCAAGGTATTGCATGATGTGCTCCTGGGATCATAGTATCGTCCCTGTTTATTTCTAGCACTGTGGGGAACAGACTTTACCCTTCTTAGTACACGCCCACCCAGGCATTGCTTTTTATCCTCATTCCCTTGTAATTATAGCGTAAGCAAACCGCATCTCATGGTGTTACTGGGGATAGGAGGAGCATAAAAAAAATATCAAAGTCTCCATGCAAGGTGTCCAGCTGTAGATTTTAGTCTTACACGATGGTTTCTCCTCATATTCTAAGTTTTTGTTTGGCAGGCTTATTGGCCCAAGGTGTTAGATTATCCTTCAGTGACTGGTTATGATTATTCAAGTTCAATAGGCTGGCTAATCCTGAGTGAATGGTTAATCAAAAGAAATCGCTGTCTCTGGATGTTAATTTGAGAGCTTTACCTTGTCTTCAACAGTCAGATGGTGTTTCCTTTGTCCTCTCTCATCCCATATTAGAATCCAAAATGTCCCTGAGAAGGTGGGATTAATGCAGCCATCTCCCTCAGGACATTGGAAATTTATCTCCAATTCTGGGATAACTCAGATACAAAGAAATTGTAAATAATTCAAACCATTTATTCCTTGCTGTAAATGCTAGAAACACACATTTCCTCACTTCCCCAATAATTATCTTGTTTTATGACAGATGACCCTGAAAACTTCTTGGATTTGAGCCTTGGTTTCTAGTTTTTTTCCCCCCATCATCACAATGACTTTGCTCTTCAAATTTAATGTTAGATCAATTATAAATTACCAATAAAAGGATAGCAGATGTCAGGTTTAAAATGCCTTTTAAAAATGAATCAGATTGACCTGAGGTTAAAAGCTTTAAATTTTTCCCCCCGTGTGTTGTAGACATGAATTCTCAAAGAATTTCTTGCTTAAAGATTTTCTTTACTCTCTTCATCTTAGCCTACTTAAATTTTTGGATAAAAATGAGACTTTTGAGCTCATCTATTCTTAACTTCCCTAGTAGGTTTATAAGGAAACTGAGGCCCTGGCACTAAATTGACATCTAGGATAATCCACATGTATATATGCTGGCATGAAGAAGAGAATCTTGAGGGTGTTGTTGCATTCATATTTCTTAAAATCAAAAGAAAGAAAGAAAGCCCACAGACAGGGCTTCACTTTTCAAGATATTTACAAAAAACTTAGTTACTTGTGTGAGGTCTGATTATAAAGATTAGGAAGCATTCTTAGTAAAATAGTTATATGATCATAGGGAATGAGTAAAGATGCTTTAATTTATAAAAAGCATTGTTTTCAGAACAAACAAAAATGATATAGAATTATACAATTTTAATTTCAGAATATTCTTTTGAAAAAAACTTTCTGCTACAATATTGTCACTTCTAATATATAATTCTTGTTTCTGTATCTTGATTTTAAATTATGAACTGCATCCTTCTTTTTGAACACAGACTCATTACTTTTTTAAGACACAAATTTAAGTCCCGAAGTTAAATCCTCACATTTTAATGTTAATTTCCTACACTTTAATGTTTAATATAGTTTCCTCTAGTGCTTAGATGGAACATTTTGAAAGTAAAAGTTAAAAATGTGTGAAATATCAGCACTGGAGAGATCTCTCCAAAAGGAATGACAAAATCCAGGTTGAATGTGGTTTATTGACATATTTAATAATTTTCCCTCCATTGAGCTAGGCAGTTGATTATTGATATTATTATTTCTTCAGGAAGAAGTAATGTTTTATCACTTTATACTGATTTTTATTTTCCATATTTTATATAAGATATTTTGAGGAAGGAAGGGTGTAGAAGAAAGATTCACTTTTCTTATATCTATTTCCCAATAGTATTACTTTGGTAAAAATAATTGCTAATGGAGTTTGCTTTCTGAGAATAGAATTATGTTTTTGGAAAATTAATTGGACTTCTATTTTCTAATTTTGTTGAGGAATGACTGATAACTTTACCTGTGTATTACTTTGGACTACTTTATTTCCCCTCTGCTTTCTGACTGTAACTGTATTGCAGAGATGGTATCTTCACATATTCCAATCAAGTGATTTTATTATAGGAGATTACAACTATTCACTTAGCCATTTATATATGCTGTCTTGTTTCTTCTTAAAGGAAATTAATTTCTCTTTTCATTAGACATAACATTTGTGAAAACAGAATTGCTTTTATTTTCTGCTATCCACAAAGAAATTTTGTGTAAGCTCTTGGTGTAAGCTCCAACTAAAAATGTATTTTTCCTAAGGCTCTGCCCTCTGCTTCTCAGAGATGCATTGTGTATTGGCCTACAGGCACTTTCTTGGATCACTTAGTAATTTCCCTACCTTCAGACTGATGGGGTCATGTAATGGTGATGGTTTCCTGTAAATAGCAGCTAAGTCCACATTATCAGGGTTGTTCTTACCATCTGGGCACTATTCAGCAAGGAAGCCTATTTGTCTGAATATTGGCAATTTGGAGCTTAAAAATCTTGGGACCTCCAGTGACCTTCACTTCTCCTTTCCAAATTGGCCATTGCCTCATTAATTTGTTGCCACCATTTCTTAAGTTAGAAATTAACCCAATACAGTAAATATCAAAAAAAGACTACACTACTGTGGCCTTCATTTCTATAGTTAATCTGGGTGACTTTGCAATCATAGATAAGGCATCTAGTCTTTGAATGACCTCATTTTAAAATATTCCTTTATTACTTTATTGTACATTGAAGTAAGCTTTGAGGTATTTTCTGTTTTTAAATTTTTATCCAGAAGAATTTAGTTTTCATATTCTTTCACATTGTTTTCAATGCTCTATCATATCATTTGTGCTGCAATTGTTGTCTGGTCATAACAACACGACCAGTTTACTTGACAGAAGAGAGAATCAGTGCGTGTGAAGTTACCTGCAATAGACTTTCCAGAAATTGTTCATGATTGCTTTCTGAAAGAAATGTTGAGAAAGATCTGCCAAGGAGGCAGAGGAGCATTGAAGCAACAGAGCTTCACTTGAAAAATTCAAATGCMCTTTGGAATGAGCTGCTCACCTGGAATGTGTATCTTTAAATATGCTAAACATAGAGTACAAAAATAGCCTCTACAGAGAATATCTCGGCCAAGGACACATTATTCCATTCTTCTGATGAAATTAAGATTGCTCCCATCCAAAATTAAGTTTAAAACGATACCTAAAATAATTTTATTTGGTTAAATTTAAAGCATTGAGCAAGTGCAATGAAGAATATCCTTTGAATTTGTAGTTTAAAAAAGTAAAAAAAAAATTGGGGGGGGGAATATTTTCATTTTGTTTTAAGCATTTTTCTCTTCATATGTCTTAGGCCAGCAGTCAGGCAATGATATGACAAAGGTTTAATGGTGCTACTTTCCTGATAGAAATATTCACTTTTTGTTTGGTTTGATTTTCATTGTGGGATAATATTTTGGGGGCATTTGCTTATATATTATTTAAAATTGACCTTTTTTGACTTCTTTTCAAAGTTGGATCTTTTTCTTTTAGCAACTTTTTTACTATTTCATATAAAACTAAAGTTAAAATTCTTATGGCATCAGAGGAAAGTCCTCCTAAGTCATAAGTACTGTGCAAGGATAAAAAGATTATTTTAGATAATGCAATTACATATAATATTTTTATACCTATTGTTATAGTTCTTGTCTACTTACAGTAATTTTCTCTATACCTTTATTTTCTTGGCTGCAACCTATTTCACAGGAAGTTATCTTAATGAATTGCTCTGTTTTTCATATTATAAGGAATTGAATTGTCTTGAAAGTTTATTTAGGCCAACCAATTTAGGTGCTTAAAACTCCACTATTACAACCTTATCCATGCTCCAAGGTTATGATTTGATTAGGATTTCTAATGAGAGTGGGGAAAATTTTGGAGTTAAATTCCAAAGCAGAATCTCTCAGTTTGTTCTTCTTTATACCATAAACTGGCTCCCTGACATTTCCTCCAATTTCTCATCAACCCCTGGGTATCATCTCAAAGAATGCAAACTCTTCTGTCATGCGATATTTGTTTTCAATGACTTCTCTCTTTCTTATACTACACCTCATCAGTTTATTCTCTCGTATATCCTTGGTTCTGGTTCCTTCACCGTGATAGCTAACTTTAACTAGACCGTAGATACATTATTAAACCAAAGTCTTCTAAACAGCATGTGCCTCTATTAAGTCATATCTTCTTTCCTTTATCCTTGCACAGTTATTATTATCACTATTATTAGTGCTACTATATCAAATGGTAGAAATGTGATATTTTTCTTTTAAAGGTAAAATTATTAGCTTAAGTCTGCCTTTTTAGCTTATTAGTAGATTCTAGAATTTTGATGAATTTATCTTAGAATTCCTACTTTGTGTCCTTAGGATTCTAGCTTCCTTCAGTGGCCACTTGTGCTATGAACTGTTTTGACATATGCTTTTCCACTGTATATCACACCACCTTGTAGATACACCAATAATTCTAAATAGTTTAAATGAAAAGCTAGTACAGGGGATGTTCAACTCACCTTGAACATTTACTATATAAAACTCTATGTCACAAATTTTAAAACTTACTCTCAGTTATTAAATAGTTTACACTAAAAGTGCAGTTTGAACACACAAAACAAGTAAAATCTAATCATTGGCAATATAGACTTTAAAAAATGAGTTATGCTCAAGAAGTATTAAAAGAAAATATTGGTGATTTAGTTATCTTGAGAAAAACTAGAGGCAAGAAAATTTTGGTTAGTGTTTTATTTGGTTACATGGATTGTAAACATTTGTAGCAGTATTGAAAGTGTCTCCCTAGAGGGAAAAATAAGCAGATCTATTTACTGGAACGGGAAGTCCAGGCCAGCAACTAGTAATAAAGACAGAAGTAGGCTGTGATATTCTGTGATTCCATAAAGATGGAATATGTAGGATAATAATGTAGAATCTTGAAGCATGTGCCAAAGAGTATGGGTTTTAAGAAAGATGTTCA